GTAGTAGTTCGTCGTAGTAGTAGTAGTAGTAGTAGTAGGAGTAGTGTAGGCGGGTAGTTGTAGCAGCCGGGTAGTAGATAGTAGTAGTAGTCAGCAGTTAAGTATATAGTTAGTTAGTAGTAGTAGTAGTAGTAGTAGTAGTAGTAGTAGTCGTAGTAGTAGTAGTAGTAGTAGTAGTAGTAGTCGTAGTCGTAGTCGTAGTCGTAGCCGTAGTCGTAGTCGTAGTCGTAGTCGTAGTAGTAGTAGTAGTAGTAGTAGTAGTAGGAGGAGGAGGAGGAGGAGGAGGAGGAGGAGGAGGAGGAGTTGTAGTCGCAGGAGAAGGAGTAGTACTGCATTAACATGTTCGTTGCGACGTGTGTGCGCGCGTGTGTGCGTGCGTGTGTGTGTGTGTGTGTATGTGTCTGTGTGTGTGTGTTTTTTTTTGTGTGTGTGTGTGTGTCTGTGTGTGTGTCTGTGTGTGTCTGTGTGTGTCTGTGTGTGTCTGTGTGTGTGTGTGTCTGGTGGGTGGGTGGGGTGGGTGGGGTGAGGTGTGGGGTTGGGGTGGTGGTGGTGGTGGGGGGGGGGCTCGCTTGGCGGCGTGACCCGCATTGCCGATTCGCCAAGAGATTTCCTGCCCTACCGTAGTTGTTCACTCTGGCTCGCAGATCCGCGGCCGCGCGGCTCCCATGCGCATCGCGCTCACCCGCGGGCCCGCCCGCTGGACATGGCCCCGAAGCTCAACCCGAAGCGCGTTCAGAAGCTGGCCATGGAAGGCCAAGGGGGCGCCGCCGTCCCAGGGCCACCTGGACGCGTTCGCGCGGGGGGTCATCTGGGGCATGCACATGGCAGGGATGCCCCGCGCAGACGTTGTCATGCGCGTCGAGAAACCAGACGGTGGCGCCGTGCCCGTGAACGCGGTTGACCGCGTCATCACGAAGATGAAAGCTTCGCCCGAGTGGCCCGAGTGGGCTTTTTGGCGAATGGCCACATGGATTACTGGGCGTTGCCAGCAGACCCAGAGAAGCCCAAGGAGAAGACCGCGCACGTACCGCCGCCTGGTAACCACTGGGTTGCGGCGGCTCTGCTTCGGCGTCGACGAGCCCTGCCGCGTGGCCCAGGGCCACGAGAAATGCTCGTGGCAAGACCATAACTTGCAAGCGCTTCGGCAGGCAGGCCGCGCGGTTATCGACGACTACCCCAGGTCGTCCCCAGACCCCGACGCGATCGAGGCGGCGTGGAACATGACTCGCCAGCGCTTGGAGGACACGGAGCCCGAGGACTTCGAGGCCCGCCCTGCTTTCGTGGCCCGCCTACGGCGGTGCGTTAACTGGCTGAGCGAGAGCCAGGGGGGCGCCTCGTTGAACATGCGCACGAACCAGTAGTTCCGCGCCAAGGATGCGATCGAGCTGAAGGGGGCCAAGACCAAGTGGCAAGGGCCTCCCCGCCCCCCCCCCCCCGCCGTTGCGACGGGGCCACTGGGGCGCCCCCGAAGGGTTGACAATGCCATCCCGTTTTCGATGATCTCGCTTGAAAGCGCTCTGCGCGATGCCGCCGTCCACCCGCTGGGGGCTGGGGTGGCCCCCGAGGGCCTGGGGTTTTGGCCCAGGGTGCCTGCAGGGCCCCTTCGAGTTTCCTAGAGGACCCAAATGCCGCTCCGGAGCCCTGCTCCTTTTTCTGGCTATCTGGGCTGGCCTGGGATATCCTTGCCCACGAATGTAAATGGACACCAGTATAAGTACTAATATAGGAAGGTATCAATTAACGTAAAAAAGAAATCAATAAGCGGCCAGAAACCATAAATTATATTTCTAAAATAAGCAAGAGAGCCCGGGCGTAAATAAAGGAATATATCCTCGATAAAGCAAGTAATATTCTTAAACTGAGGAGGGATACAAGAGACGAAATAGACAAGGAGATTACAAAAATCTGAGCGTTATCTCCCATAGGCTACTTAGAGGCTAATTAGAGGCTCGTCAGAGGCTATTCCATCGGCGATATGTATTTTTCCAGAGGCTATTCCCGTTTCACGATTCAAAAGAGTTATACTCAATTTTTTCCAATCGTGAAAATGGAATAGCCTATGGAAACATTCATATCGCTTATGGAACAGCCTCTAATTAGCCTCTCATTAGCCTTCTAGTCAGCCTATGGGAAAAGCCCAGAAGGCCCCGACGCTCGCCCGCGCGGAACCCCCCACGGGCCTCGGAGGGCCTGCGCGGCGCACTTGGCGCACCTGGCGCAACTGGCGCGCTGTTCGCCTGGCTGATATCATCGACCCAGATGAGCCCAGGGCGACCCCAGTAGAGCATTGCTCAGGCCACTTCTGCCCACGCCCGACCAGCCCTGCGTAGATCAAGTACGCAA